ATGAAGAATGGTACTTCAAATACAAGGAACAAAGAACCACACAGAATGTGCATTTTCAAAATGAAGAACAACGAAAAAGGAGATGAATAATGACGAAAACGAAGAATGAAAATGAAACCGATGTGGAATTACAACTTCAACATTTTGAAGAACACAAAGGAAAAAATTTTGAACATGAATTTTTGAGTTTGTCAATTTGAAGATGAATAACAGAGAATCAATTTTTGAGTTCGTCAAGTTCCAACATATTCGCGAAACAAATTTTTTTAAAAAATTTAAAATCTGACGTGGACAATGACGTGGAGAGTGAAGTGGACATCTAGCTGACATGACATACACTATTGGGTGTTGACATTGCAGTCCGTCAGCCACGTTATCATTTAATAGAGGGAGACTAACATTAGGTACTAAATTGGAAAAAAAAATTAATCAGATAATTTAAACAAAAAAAGTTTAATAGGTAATAATTTAAAAACCAACATAATTAAAAATAATTTAAACATATTTAAATCAAAAAAATATTATACATATTTAAGTTGTTTAACAATATATACTATTAGTTCAAAATGCAGACTTACTTTAAATCTTGCAAAATGCAGACTTACTTTAAATCTTGCAATACAACATCTATTAGTTTTCTCTCTTTTTTATCATCTTTTTTCCTTTTCCTTGATGTTATCCTTCTCAATTACAATATCGATAACATCTGCTAAACAAAAATAATCAAATTATCATTTAAATGTTACGAGTATGATATATAGTTATAGTTATATATATAATATAAAACACAATAAAATATTAGAAATTCATTAACACTAACCAAGTAATATGTCTTCCTTATTTGTATGCCAATAAAAGACATAAAATCAAAATGAAGTTTTGGGATATGATTAACTTCCGATCTAGTAACCTTTGTGTTGGCAATAAAATTAAATTTGTACTTATGATTTTTAGTTTTAAATTTGATATCATTTTTATCTACCAACAAATTTTCAATGAATAAGGTAGCTCATTCTTTTAAAATTGGCTTGAACTTAGATATCAGCGTCTTTTTCACAGAAATATGAATTTTGATAGACTATTAAAACAATATTCACATAGTTAAGAAATAGTCTTATGAATTACAATGAAAACATAAATAAAATGATTTTGACAAATAAAATATATACCTATTATCTAGAAGTAACATCTCAATACTTTTGACTTCATTTAGATTGTTGTACTCAAACAAATGTCATAGAAAAATTATTCGTACTTGTAGTTTCCACACTACAAGAAATTTTACATATAGTGACATACAAAAAGTGTCATTATAGGTACAATATATGTAGGTATATGTTTATTTGGCATATAGTTACATAAAATTTTAGTATTAATTTTGAATGAGATTTAACAACATATTTTGTGTATCACTATACTACAAGAATGTTTCAATTTAGAGTCGGCCAAAAGCCAACTCTAAATCATAAAAGCCGACGTAATATTGTCGGTTATTCGTCGATTTTTGACCGACGCTAAATAAGTCGACACAATTTTTTTTTGTGTCGGCTAAGCCGTCACTAACAAATTTATTTATTTTAATTTTTTATTGTCGGTTAAGCCGACACTATGTTGACACAAATTTTATTTTATTTTTTTCTTTATCTTCTTTTTCTTGCTTATTATTTATTCGTTCGTATTTTTAACATTCCTGGGACTCGATCCGTGAACCTTGAGGTCTTAAGTGAACTTGATAACCAAGTGTACTAGAACACATTATGCGTATATAACATTGAAAAAATTATCTTTATCTCTCTCAAAGCACATATATTGTCAAAAAAGCCGATGCTATTTTAAGATGTAGCGTCGGCTTTTTCGACACTAAATTTAAATTAAGTTTAGTGTCTGAAAAGCTGACGCTATTCTTTCAATATATCGTCGGCTTTTTTGACACTAATTTAATTTAAAATTTAAATTAAATTAGTGCCGGAAAAGCCGACGCTATATTTAAAGAATAATGTCTGCTTTTTCGACGCTAAACTTAAAATAAATTTAAATTAAATATTTTAAGTTTAGCGTCGAAAAAGCTGATGCTATTCTTTAAATATAGTGTCAGCTTTTCCGACACTAATTTAATTTGAATTTAAATTATATTAGTGTCGGAAAAGCCGACGCTATATTTAAAGAATAGCGTCGGCTTTTCCGACGCTAAACTTAAAATATTTAATTTAAATTTATTTTAAGTTTAGCGTTGGAAAAGCCGACGCTAAATCTTAAAATAGCGTCGGCTTTTCCGACACTATTTACGTAAGCTATTAGCCGATGTTTATTTTCCGCCGCTTATTTACCGTTTTCTTGTAGTGATATATATACCCACACTTTTTAATAATACACCAACATATATTGTAGTTATTGTGTGGGTACAAATAATTTTTAATGACATATATAATGTCACTATAGAGTGTGTGTCACTATATGAAAATTTTATTGTAGTGCCATTAAAAATCAAATATGTTGTTTCCACTGATACTACCTGTAGAAATATCATACATAACATGATTATATATGCCAAAAATACGTGAAGTTTAAAAGACATTTAAACTTTAAAATATCAACTTGTTAAGGAAGGTGCGCCATTAACTAATATGTTAAAAATCATAAATCATATTACATGGTCTGAACATTATCAAATGCCATTGGAAGTAACATAATAATTTTAATAATTTTCAACTTTTTTGGGAACCAATATCATGATAACTCCCCGAATAATAAAAAAGAAAATTGATTCGACTTAATAAGAGAGTTCAAAAAGTCAAACATATATCTTTACTAGTTAACATATATAAACGATTCAAATTTTATAATTAAAGTTGAAATATATCATGTTACAAACAAACACAGTAACTTACAATACAAACACTTAATAACTTCAACATATAATTATACATATATAATCGCAACTTAATCAACAATAAACAACTAATATGTCGTCAAACATATCAACTAAAGAGATTTTCTATAATAGAGGTGAGTAATTTAATAGTGACTACTGAACTACAATATTTGATCTATCATAATCATGTCAAGTATAGACAATATTACGCCTCTTAGAGTATCATGTATACAACTTAATTTGATTTATCAGATTTTACGACTTAAATTAGGAAAGTCTAGTTGTAACACCCTACTTTTTCACAATTAGATTAATAATATATATATTTTATTATAAAATTTAAAGGGTGGATGTTAGAGAATATTTTAAGGTTGATATTATATTTTATATATTTGTTTTCAGTAAATTATATAAGGATTATATTTTATTATAATTTTATTATTATTATTATAAGTGAGGGGAAGGAATAGGTGACCATGGTTATGGAAAAGTAATTAAGGATGGATTAGAGGGAGGATGAGTTAGGTTTAATTTGAAAAAGAGGGACGCATCAGTTTTCTGCTCATGCTCTCACTTTTCTTTTCCGCTCTTCAGAACCAAAAGGAGAGGAGAAAAAAGGAGACCATCTTGGAGACCCACGTTCTTCGCATTTTGCTAATAGAGGTAAAGAGGGAGTGAGAAACCTCACTCTGGGTGTGAGTTTGTATGTCAGGTAGTAGGATTGATCTCCAATCATATGTATGATGTATGCTTATGTATGAGGGCTTTTTCCTAATGTTTCTATTTTACTCTCTATTCTTCTTACTCATAATTAATGGCATGAAACGTTGGAATCACTAGTACAAAAGGGGTCTTTAACGTTGGCTATTTTAAGGATTTTACGTCAGAAAAGGCTCTGACGTTAATACGGGAGACGTAAATTTACGTCGCCTGTGACAGACGGCGTAAATTTACATCGGACATGTCTTATGACCGACGTAAAAAATGGCTTGAAATGTTAAAAAATAGACGCCAGAATTTACGTCAGACCATGTCCGGTCTGACGTAAATTTACGTCGGCTATGGTGTAGTCCGACGTAAAATCTGGCATATTTTTTTATAATTTTTTTGTTGATATTTGATACACCCAAATTAAAACCTGCATTTATATAGTGCAAAATATAAAACCTAAACCAGACAGTCCAGAATACAAATTCAAATTATATTTCAAAATTGAATGACAAAAAGAAAATAATATATAAATCTTAAAAAGCATAAATTATGACAATGTAACACTACTAGAAAAATTAAAATTAGAGAGGGAAAAATCCGTCACTAATCTTTATAAAATCCGTCACAAATAAGTTAGTGACGGAATTTGTGACGTTAATCAAAGGTAATTAATTAATCAGCAAAGACACAAGTGAAGGGAAATTAAGGTCAAAGTTACTACCAAATATCAATGGGAAAGCTGGTAATTGGAATGGCTTG